CTACAGGCGCACTGGGCTCATAGGCATAGCGCCTATTTACTACTAAGTACTAGCCCTGCTATCGTCCATTCGAAAATCTAAATTCGGATGGAATCAGGAATACAATATTTCACCGAACCACCATAAATATAAAGACGGTTCGGATCTGCTACTTTATTTTAGGGTACACCACCCATAGATTTTTTTTTTGGATTTTAGGTGCACTCTTCTTGTTCAATTTTCAGAAGGCTATGGTGTGGCAGAATTAAATTTCAGAAAGTCGGAAACTGGAAACTTTCGAAAGAAAGGAGCAGTTGGAAATTCGGAATTGTAAAAATCAAATAAAAAATCATAGCCTTCCAAAATAAAAAACAAACAAACAAACAAATGGTGGAGAAAAAGTTTAAACCCATTGAGATCGATCACGATGGTTTTTGGTTTTGATACCTATTTATGCATACTATTTATTATTTCATTCTATGCATTTTGGTTATTTCCCAAAGGCCCAGTCCCCAGGCCTAGCCCCCAGGCCTGGCCCCCAGCCCCCAGGCCCAGAGTCCCACACTCCAGAGTCCAGAAACAAGTCTCAAGTCCTCCCACAATAAGAAGAGAGTCCCAGTCTGGACTCTGGATCCAGATTCCCAAACTGCCCAGAGACTCCAGACAGTGTAAACTCACTCTGTCTCACAGTCAGTCAGCCACGGGATACAGGCCTACAGGCTATAGCCCAGTAAGCCCACAGGCCATACAGGGGAGTGAAGGACTGCAGGACAGTGAAGAGACGGTGACAGGATTATTAAAAAAATGGGGGGGGTTTTAAAAATAAATAAATCAAATTGTCTATGAAATTGATTTACACATAGATAAATAGCTAAATAAGTCAGAACTACACACAACTTCACAAGGGTTTTATTTATATATATATATATATATATATATATATATATATATATATATATATATATATATATATATATATATTTAACAAAAAACCTCCAAAACACCACAGGGTTGCTTTCTCTTTTTTTTTGTCTAAAAAGTGGCTATACAG